TTTTAAGGATGACCAGATTATTAACTGTCTGCATGAATTCCGGTCATCTGTGACATATTTGACCAAGGATTTTGAACAGCTAGTCAACATTTTGCTGGTAAGATTGTGCTGTTTTGCATCAGATGTTACCATTTTTATTCAGTCTGTGAACAACACACACCCTGATCTCTTCATTTTCTATGTATAATATTGCAGAAGGTGTCATGGCTAAGAAAAAGCCAAGCAGTAGTGGAAGAGTATTTGGCTTTCCTGAGCAATTTAGTGTCTGCGCAAACCATTTACTTGAGGCCATGTCTTGCGATGATTGTCTCACACTTCATACCACGTGAGATTTTTTTCTTTTATTTATTTTCTATTCTTCTTGACCAGAATTTTATTACAGTTCCTGCTTGCCAAGGCTTGCAGTCCTCTGGCGTGCTGCTTCCAGATCCATCTGCTTCCATCGGAATTCTTAATTTCCCCTTCCCACTGCACCTCCACTGTGCATCCTAAAACACTGGTCTGGAAAGCTGGGAAGACCTCTGGAGTAGATTTTTGGCACCAGTGAAGGCTCAGTGTGAGGGGAGGAAAATTCCAATTATATTAATATTAGATACTGAAGTATCTTGGCCCCTGCTTCTTTCCATGTGACTTGTACGGAACCCATAAACTGCATGCAGCCTCTCAAGGCAGTTTTTGCACTTCCTGCTAGCACTGGCATTGAAATTAGCTTTGCTGCTGCCACTGATCAAATTATGTTGCCAGGAAGCAGCAGCTGTAATAACAAGAACTATTGTGTGGTTGCTTGTGTTTGGAGGGATCCAGTCTGAGTTTTCCCAAGATGTCTATCTGAATAAGTGGAAATATTGTATAATTGTTTGAACCTCAAGACCAAGTTATCACTGTTGTCTATAAGCAGGAGGGAGCTGTAATGGGCTTTGCTATCCCTTTTCTCTCTCTCTTCCTCCCAGACAGCCAGCATGACAACTTCAGAAACGTTTGCTATCTCTGTTCCTTTAACATGGTTTGTTGTATCATGCAAAAACATGGTTACATATTGTGTCATCAGCAAGCTTCATAGATGAGGAAGTTGTTTGGTTTTGACAAAACTTTGGCCTGAAATTTATGGCTGAAAGATTTTTTAATCAGTTTGACAGGTTTATATCTCTTTATTATTATGTTTTAATTGTAGATTTAGTTGGTTTTAAGGGTACTTCTGTTTTATTTTTAATATTATTGTTCACCTCCTTGAATGCTATAGAATTTTGGTAAATAAAGCTATTTGCTTTGAAATTGAACATTGTTGCAACCCCTTGTCCAAATAATACTGCAGGCCAGCATTTCCAGGAAACAGCTAAAACTCTGTGTGTCATATTGATCATGCATGAGGAAGAGAAGAAAGTGAGGAGTGCTTGAGTCTAAAGCTTGCTGTAGCCCCTTTCATGATAAATGGGCAGAAAGTTAAAGTTGGCATAATATAGTTTGATCTAAGTGAAACAGACGGAATGTTCTGTTGAAAACCTTTCAGATTGTGGTTTCTGATATAAATATATTTGTCAACGCATGAATAGTCATTTTCCGAAGGTAGCAAGCAATCATAAAAACGGTATAAATAGCTTTTGGACTATTCAGTCAGCTCTTTGCCATGAAACTTCATGGAGACACAGAGGATTTCGAAGCAACAAATGGACATGGAATCTTTCTGGCCCGGCATTCCAAACGGTGTACGTTTAAAGAGGTCTGTGGTCTGTGCTGAAATAAATACGACATCTACTGTATTGCACATTCTGTTCTGCAAGTGGTGATAGAAGTATAAAAGCCCTTGTGTCCAATTTTGTCAGGTATAGAAGTTATACAGCCTAGGGTAGGTTCAGGTGACAGCTTCAAACAACAGGTATCATGAAAGGGCAGCAGAATTTTAGCTGTTTCATTTGTTGTTCCGTTTTTCTTGCCGGGGAAGGGGTAATATGCTTGCAAAGTTTTCTACTTCATTTGCCAAAATATAATAATCTAACTGAGATAATTTTCTGCCACTGTATACCTTGACTGAGTTGGGTGTGGGTGGTTGTTGCTGAGGCAGCAAAGTGTTTTGGGCTGGCCCGGGGAGATGTCTTTTGAACACTCAGTGGGTGTTTTAACAATAATTGGCTGCAGCATTTTAACCGGAAAGGGAGCATATACTAGTTGTCGTGAACATGGATGATGATGCCTGTGGTGAATTGGATCCAGATTTAGACACAGAATTGGATGCAGATGGAAGAAGCTTCCTTGCCCTCTTTGGCAAGGAAGCTCTTTGGAAAAACTCCACAAACCGTCTGGCGATCGTGCTGAGGGGTGTGAGTTTGGGTGGTGGAGGAGGAGTGAAGAGCTCTGGGTGACTCAGGGGGGGCACCATCTATGAACCTCTGCAGCAGCAGCAGGAGGCAGATCCTGGACTGGACCTGATATTTATAACCCAACTTCAGACCTGTCTGCTGGAGTTCAGGAGTTAAAGATTAACTAAGTGTGTCTTCAGGAGAAAAAGCAGTCCCTTCCTGAAAGACTGTTCAGCTGAAAGGAGACCACAATAATAGAATAAGAAACAAAAACTACCATCTGTTAATATATATATAGCAGTTACATACAGCATAGTGTAATTATAGATGTGTGATTTAATAACATACATTCAATGTCATTATCATTTTGAACCTAACTTGGCAATGAAGATCTCACATTAAGTGGTACATAATGTAATAACAGAATAATCCTATGTCTACCTAGCTCGGATAACCATACGAGAAAATAATGTGGAGATCTCTGATTCAGATGATGATGAAAGTGAGTAGAAATTTCATATACTTTTCAAATAATAGAACTATTTGTCTCTGGTGCATGATACTTTTATTTGATCTCGTTATGCCTGATTGGGTTTGTAGTACAACATCCTCTGCAGCGCCACTGACTGCCCATCCTAGTGCTTCTGTTTAAGTATAGCTTTGTTTACAACTGTGAAGCATATATTCAAATATTTATGACCTGAAATACCATACAGCCAGTATGACTGGGAGCCACTGATCACTATGTCCTTCATGAATTTTATCTAATTCCTTTCTATAGCCATCAGAGCTTTTGGCCAGTACTACTCAAATATGTTAAAGGTAATAGAAAAGTAAAAGTAAAGGAAAGTAATAGAAAAGTTGTCTGTGATAAGAAATTAGAGGAATGTATTGGTGAAATGTCAAATGTAAGTAAACCTTCTTGACGAATGTACATGACTTGATTATTTTCTTGCAGATGTCCC